CCTGGCTGACTGACCAGTTTGATGGTTGGCCATATTCTATCAGAACTCGGACATTTTGCCTTGAGCGAGCTGGACTCTATTGAGGGTCGCGGGCCGGCTGTGGTCCATGGACTTTGCTGGCCAGATGGAATTGATCTGGTAGGAAGCTGACAGATTTGGCTCGGCGGAATTTATCCACAACATTTTGTCTGATTGGAATCGCCACCTTGAGATCCARCAGCAGGAACTCTAAAGCAGATGGAAAATTGTTYTCYTCTGCCAGCCTCTTTCTGTTCCCAAAACAACTGATTACAGAATCTGGATCTCCCCGACAACAMCCTTGATCTGTTGACTAAATTCTTCCAGGCTGGATTATGTCGACAAGGCTCTGCCCCCCACCTTCCCCCCTCCTCTCACCCGTCTAATCTGCTTTCCTGAGCAGGCTGTAAGCTGCACAGAAATGAACAGTRTCCATCAATATTTCTGAACTATGGCTGCGCTGGTTTTGGGGACTGGATTCTTTGGGCCCCCCTAAACTCACTCACTCCTCTGGCTAATAAACTTGCTCTATACAGAGGTTTTTTTTTTTTCATAAACACCACAGTGTGTCACAGTGTTGATATAATATGATGTTTTTGTTTTTTTCCTCACCTTCCCTTCCTTTGTGTGTTTTTCAGTTTTTCTTTGTTTCTAAGTTGGCGCCACGGCAGCCTGTTACTGCAACTCTACTGTTTTGAGCTGCTGTAATGTTCAAATTTCCCCACTGTGGGATCAATAAAGTTTTATCGTATCATATCGTATCTTATCTTATCTTCTCGTATCTTCTCGTATCGTATTGTATCGTATCTTATCTTATCTTATCTTATCTTATCTTATCTTATCTTATCTTATCTTATCTTATCTTATCTTATCTTATCTTAAAACAGCTGATTGTCAACAACAAAAACAACAACAGTACTTACGGTTCTGCTTCAAGCCTTTCTGGTGGTGAGGGTCTGACTACAAGGTCCGGTTCTGATGGTGAGGGGTCCGGTTCTGATGGTGAAGGTCTGGCTACAGGGTCTGGTTCTGATGGTGAGGGTCTGGCTACAAGGTCCGGTTCTGATGGTGAGGGGTCCGGTTCTGATGGTGAAGGTCTGGTTACAGGGTCTGGTTCTGATGGTGAGGGGTCTGGTTCTGATGGTGAAGGCCTGGCTACAGGGTCTGGTTCTGATGGTGAGGGGTCCGGTTCTGATGGTGAAGGTCTGGCTACAGGGTCTGGTTCTGATGGTGAGGGGTCTGGTTCTGATGATAACTTACTGATCTTAGTGTAGACTGACTCTGGTGAAGACTTGAGTCCAGGGTGGTCTTCTGTCGATGAGGTGCTGCTCGGAGGTCTGTGTTTAGAGTTTTTAGTACAACAACGAAACAACACAAAATCCAAAGAAAACTTCTTTTGGGTCTCCATGATCCTTGATCCTGAATCCCAGCCAGAAATCCTTCAGCTTCCTCCTGCTGCTCCCAGCACAAGATCCAGTCTGGGACTGTGCCGGTTCTGGTCCCAGCACACAGTGTTCAGCAGGAAGTGTTTGTGCGTGCAGTGTGAGCTCTGAGTGGACGGGCAGGTTTGAAGCTGAGGAGGAAGGAATGCCTGCACCTGTTGGACGAGTGCATACTGTAATAACATCACAATGTGTAATAATAGAACACAATTTGTTATAATAACATTATTATATTTTGTGGTGATTGTTACAAAATGCGGTGGCTGCTCTTGTTAGAAATAATAATGTAATAAAAGATCACAACCAGAGTTTTTGTTCATCCCATATCAACACACTTGTAATAAAGATCATACTGCAGACACTACACATTTAAATCTTTGAAACTTTGATCAATAAACAGAAAACTTTTCATCATTTAGTTGCCAGTTCAGCTTTATTATCCTGATCCCTACCAAAATTATTCCACTTTACAGAATACTCCCAGGACATATTTAAAAGTCAGCTTTATTGAAACGTGACTTGTACACTGAAAAAAAAAACAGATTTTTGGGTTCAGTATGTATTGCCTTGATCATTATTTCATTTTTACAACAAATTATCATGTCTTTACTTTAAAAGGACTCATTTTATTTAATATGCTACTTTGAACTAGTTTGTAAATCTACTGCAAAACACTCGTAAATTTAAGTCATCATGCCAAGTAGTTTGAACCAAACTAGTTTAATAAGTTCCAGCTCAACAAGTGGATAWAATTGTAAAATCAGTGGAGCATTATGCTGACTAATCTCCAACAGACAGACCCGTTGGTTGAAGAGTGACGTCTTTATTTGTCCACATTTTAAACGCAGAAGAACAAACTGTGATCATTTATATGTTTGATATCGTGTAATCGTCTGGCACTGGAGCACTTTATGCCACCACTCTTCAGTACGGAGGACCGACAACAATCCTTGTGTTTTTCGTAGCYTGGGGAGTGACCAAGGTTATTTTTTTCTTATTTTGGGGTGGTGGCTCCGTTTGGCTTGGAAGTAAGAAAAGGGAGGCGTTGAGGAGGAAAAATCGGGAACAACTGCTGTAATAAGTTTGAGAAACCACGGTTTAAGGGACTCCTTTTTTGGACACAGCTTTGCTTGTTTTCCTTGCCCAAATTATCTGTCGTGTTTTGGCTGCTCCATCTGTTTTCTGCTCTCCTGTCACTCATGCTCTGCTCACCTGTTCATGCCACGCCTCCTCATTCAGTGCCACAGGAATCAGCCTCATCTGCCTCACCTGTTCCACCAGTATTTAAGCTCCTCAGCCACAGCCACTCACTGACAGATGATTGACTGGTTCGCCCAGTAGATATCCAGCACTTTTTCCATGTCTGATCTCTTGTTTTTGACCCACTGCGCTGCCTCCTGCCTGATTCTGATGCTGACTCTGATCCCTGGCCTTCAACACCATTTCTGTTTTCTGGACCCTGCTACTTGGATTGTGATTCGGATCTGTTACTGGCTCCACCCGGCTCTGACCTCTCTGGATCTCCTAACCCCTCTCACTCCTCCACCTGGATCCAAACCCTCTTGGACCAACATCTGTGGACCAACATCTGTGGACTCACCCAGGCTTGTTCGTCTACAGTTGGAAGTGTTTGCCGTCCAGAGGTTCCTCACTAAACAGTGAAATAATAAACCTTTTAAATCTGTTTTTGTCTTCATTTGTTCTGAATCCTAAAAACCTTTCTGACGTTATCATTAACTTTACTTAGGTTAATTAAAAAAACAACATAACATGTTTTACAGTGTCCAATAGTAAGCTAAGCTACTCACTGAATGCTATAGCTTGCAGCATTTGTTCATTAGCAGATCCTCTTTTTCCTCTGAGTTTTGGCAGCTATAATTTGATGTGAATGTTTTTATTTATTTATTTGGGGGAGTATTTTTACTTGATGCTGATCAGAGGCATTTTCAGCGTAAGTCAGAGATTACTGCTTCAATAAATCTGAGTCTGCTTTACACAGTTGTAAGTTTGTCTACTTGTTATGTACAGGTGCTGGTCATTAAATTAGAATATCATGAAAAAGTAGATTTATTTCAGTAATTCCATTTAAAAAGTGAAACTTGTATATTATATTCATACATTACATACA